AATGAAATGAGATTTTACCTGAGGCTCCTCCCAGTAAAGCTTCCCTTCTGAAGGAAGGAGGGGGGTGGAGACAGCCTTGGCCCCTACCTCAGAGCTACCTGGCATGTTTGTGCTCCACAAGGCAGAGGTAATGAAGCAAAGGGCTAGTGCTTATCTAATCACGTGATGAGGTTTTGTGAAGGCCACATGGGCTTAACACATGGATGTCCAACAAATGGTGTTGTCCTTCAGGCCAGACACAGGGGAACTAGAGATGAAAAGATACGGTCCCATTCTCTGAAGTCATATGGTCATACTCAGGGAGTATAGCCTGGCACACCTATGAGACCAGGCGAGAAAGCAAATCTTGCTTCTTCTTTCTCTTTATAACAGGCTTTCCCAAGAAGCATCCAGGACCACAAACAAGGAAGGTAGAAATGGGGATGCTCCCTTGAAATGGTATAAAAGGGACCATGCTTGAAGTCCTAGGAGCTGCTGGAGACGGACAAATTCTGCACTTTGAAGGGGTGAGGAAGTTAAGGCTAAGTTTTCCTTGACTTTTCTGGGTCCACCCAAGTGTTTGCTGGTCTTCAAGGAGTCATGTCTGCTTCCAACATGTCACTGCCATGAAAGCCCTGTGGGGCACAGTTCTACTCTGGCACACAGTGTCACTATGAGTTTAAATACACTGGAAACTGGTTTTCTTGCCCTATTTTAAACAAGGTCACAAAATTCTAGTTTAGTCACTTGATGATCAGCTTTCTACTAAGATTACAATTGCAAGGGCCTGTAACTGAGAGGGATTTGAAAGCTATGGGACACTTGTTTCGTGATGTTGAGTATAAGGTTTCCAAGGAGCAGCTGGTGAGTTTGAACCACGGACCTTGTGGTTCAAACAACATTTTTAGTTTGAAAATTTCACCAATGTAAAACTTCGGAGATTTTATGTTAAAATGAGATTTCCAGCCTTCCTTGAAAACCTGGAGAATCGATCTGGCAGTACTGGGCCTGCATTGGCACAGTGCACCATCAGGCGGCCCCTTGAGACAGAGCCTTCACACTGCACTGTGCATAGTCTTCACCGCTTCTAAACATTTTGCATTCCTCGTTTATAAACCCTGCCCAGCCCCTGCTCTCTGAGTCTGCAACTCCCGCTCTAGAGGAAAAGAGTAATGACTGTCCATGTATGTTATGTGTTCTTATGTTAAAGCTTTGATGTTTATTCATTCCTTTAATTCTTCTCTCAGTCTAATAGGTTGGTAATATTATCCCCATGGAACAGATGCAAACACAGAGCCAGATAATTGAAATAATCTTTCCCAGGTTAAAGGTGGAGCGGAACCCAGACCTGTTGTTTCCGTGCCTCTGTGTGGTCACAAGACACATGTATACGAGTTGCACAAAGAGGGTAGCACTGTGTGTGTGTATGTAGGTGTATTACAGGCATACTTCGTTTCATTGTGTTTCACTTTATTGTACTTCTCTCTCTCTCTCTTTTTTTTTACAAATTGAAGGTTTGTGGCAACCCTGTCTAGCAAGTCTATCAGAACCATTTTCCAACAACACATTCTCCCTTTATGTCTGTGTGACATTTTAGAAATTATCACAATACTTCAGACTTTTTCATAATGTTATTGCACACTTAATAGTCATGTAGCGTAGTGGTTACGACTTGGGCTGCGAACCTTAAGGTCAGCGGTTCGAAACTACCAGCCGTTCCGCGGGAGAAAGATAAGGCTTTCTACTCCCGTAAAGATTTACACCCTCGGAAACCCTGTACAGGGTCGCTATGGGTCGGAACTGACTCGATGGCACTTAACAACAACAACATAATGTAATAATAACTTTTATATGCACTGGAGAACCAAACAATTCGTGTGTTACTGCAATATTTGCTTTACTGTGGTGGTCTCGTACCAAACCCCCAATATCTCTGGGTTAAGCTTGTATTCAAGTATGTCATTTACTGAAGTACACAAATCCAGGGAGAAGATTATCTGCTCTGAGAAAAGATTTTGCCTGTAATTCCTTTCAAAAGGAAGCCTAGAGTAGAACTGGATTACAGAAATCTGGTTTATGTAAGTATTCATCTCATGGAGGAAGAGCGAACTTCACAGGCCTTTGATCTGGAGGAAGGAGTGGGGAAAGCTGTGGATGTGCAGGGGAACTCTTTTACCACACGATGAACATTCTAGGGTAGGAAGCAGCAGAGACTGGGAAGAAGGAGCAGCCATCTATGTCCAATCAACAAGGTCAGGAGGAAAGAAAGACTAGCAAGAAAGTCAAGAATGGAGGCATTTACAGAGAGAGAGAAATAGCTTCTCGGGGAACTTAGCTCAATATTTGATGGAGAATAGTTTCAAAGGTCCTGCTGCAGCACCATAGGATAAGCCCTGACCTGCTAATCCCAAGACTGAAAATTCAAATACACCAACCGCTGCTTGGAAACACTATTTCGCTATGAGTTGTAACCAACTTGATGGTGCTGAACAACAACAAAGTTTCAAAGGTGAGCTCAGACTTGTGAATGAAATCATAATCCATTCATACAATGACACAGTATATCTTTATAAAGAATAAAGCAGATTTGTATATGTGGCACTGTAGGATAAGCACTGGACTGTAAGGTCGGTTTGAACCACCAGCTACTCCTCAGAAACCCTATATAGGGTCACTATGTGTCAGAACTGACTCGGTAGTACTTAACAATACCAACATATGCAATGTTGAAAAATGGACAAGATACAGGGGTAAGAAAAAGAAAAAGCAAGTTGCAGCATGGAATGCAGTGCATGGTGCCCTTTGAGTTAAAATAAGATCTATATTAACGATCAGAAATGTGTGTGTGTGAAGATTCTGAAAGGACATAAAATATTCATAAGGGATTGGGATGTGTGGAATCTTACTTTTCCTCTTTCATCTTTTCGTACTGTCTGCATTTCTTAAGATAAGCATATGTTGTGTTTTACAGCATTTGGAACAAAAGTTACTCTGAGGTTTAAGGATTGAAAGACAGGCAAGGATGGCCTCCCAGCTCGAAGTTGGGATAAAGTCAGACATTGTGGATGAAACAAACTTCATGGTGAGCTGATTGTGTCAGAAGGAAGGACAGCTGAGATATTCTGAGAGGTGTGGGGGACCTGAGGACTTTGCAGTATAAAGCAGGAGTAATGAGTTGATTACCAAATAACAGACTATGTTAAAGAGGGATGACGTGGATGGTGGCCAGAAATGGAAGACATGAGAGGACATTTTAAATAACTCTGAGCATTGGAGTCCCTGATTAAAGCAAACAGCTGCTAGCCATTTTCCAACCATTTTCTTCCAAAGGTTTTATGTTTGAGTCCATCAGAAGCACCTTGGAAGAAAAGCCAGGCAATCAATTAGCAAAAATTAGCCGTTGAAAACCCAATGAAGCCCAGTTCTCCTCTGCTACACAGTGGTTTACCTTGAGTTGGAACTGACTGGACAGCAGCTAGTTGGTTAACTAACCATCACTCTGGGTTAATGAGGACGTACTATTGTTATTGCTTAGTTCAGCATGACAGGGACAAAAGGTATCTGGGGAAGATGGTCAGATTAAGGAGGAGACCTTCCCTTCAAGGAAAGACAACTTTGGAAGGTTAAAGTTAAAGAGATGAGGGGAATCACACTGCTGGTGTTAGGGAAGAGATCAGTGCTAGGAGCTACTGCAATAGCTCCCCTTTGAGATAAGATCCTCGAATGGTGAAGTCACACTTGTGCTCAAAAAACTAGAACAAAAGAATTTGAGGCAAGCCCTAGAGACTATGAGTTTGGGGAGGAGGGTTAATGAAGAGAGTTGTGATTTGAGCTCAGTTTAATCATCTCTACAACAAGTGGCACCATGGTTAAGCACTTGGCTGCTAACACAAAGGTTGAGGTTCGAGAATACCTGGCAATCTGATCTCATAAATATTACAGCCTAGAAAACCCTCTGAGTCAATTCTAAACTGTCACAGAGTGTTGCTATATGTCAGGCTCAAATGGACAGCCCACAACAACGATGTATTTAATTAAAGACTATTGTGAAGAACACTTGAAATAATGTACTAAAATGATCTGGTACAGGGTCTCCCCTTAACTGCCATCGAGTCCATTCCAACTATAGCAACCATGTGTGGGACTTCTGAGACTGTAAATACTTACTGGAGCAGAAAGCCTCATTGTTCTCCAGTGGAGCGGCCAGTGGGTTTGAACTGCCAGCCTTACAATGAGAAGCCCAGAGGTTACCCTGCAGTGCCACCAAGGCTTCTTGAGCCATTGCCTAATCCTGGTGTGGCGCTGTGGGCTAATGCGTCAGACTGCAAAGTCAGTTTGAACTGCAAGGTCGGTGGTTCAAGCTCACCAGCTGCTCCTTGGAAACCCTATACAGGGTCGCTATGGGTTGGAATCGACTTGATGACACTTAACAACAACAACAAATGGTTACTAAGTAGGGTTTTGGATTCACATCTACCAGGGTTCAAGAACCTTTACCATCTGTCAATAGCTGTGCAACTCTAGGCAAGTTTTTAACGTCTCTGAGCCTGGTTCCACTTTTCTTCTGTGCTGTGGAGTTGGTTCCGACTCATAGTGACCCTGTATAGAGTTTCAGAGGAGCGGTTGGTGAGCTTGAATCACCAACGTTGCGGTTCAAACCGACCTTGCAATCCAGCGTCACACCAGGACTCCTTTTTTGCATAGAGATAATCAATCGTCATGAAAAAAAGAAATATTGCACATAAAGGGCTGGCAGCGCCTAGCACAAAGTAGGTGCTCAATAAATGGTAGAGCTATTACTACTATCGTAACAGGCAAGCCACTGAGCACAGTCTGGCATACCGTAAGCAGTCAATAAATATTAATGTCATAATTCGTAAGTAAGGCAGCCGTCGAGAGTCGGAAGTGATGTGAGTGGGGCGGAATGCAGTGGGGAGAGGTGCTTACCCGCACCGAGGGGGCGCCCAGCCTAGGCGGGCGGTGGAGGTGCGGACTCTGCGGGCAGCGTACCCAACACTCACCTTCGCCAACGCAGGCCACGTCCAAGGGCGTCTGGAACAACGGAATTCTCCGCGACGCTCTGCTTCTCTCTCTCTCTCCTCTTGTGACAGCGGCAGCAGCTCGGCCCGGCTCGAGCCCAGGCATAGTTTTCCCATCCCGTCATCCGCGGGAGCGATGGCGGTCACGTGTTCCGCCAGGAGCGCGCGGCGCCGGCCCTGGAGCTTACTCTTTGGCATCTGTTTGGGAAAAAACGTCCCGCGCGGAGGACAACTGTGAACATGACAGTTTCTAACAGAGTACATTTCCCTGGGCACTGATAGAGGCACAGGAAGGGTCACGCCCTGGGCGCCACTTGAAGGGGGCGCCACTGAGCCTTTGCCATTAACCCGGTATTGCCCACTGTCCTTCCTCATGTGCGGCACGGATGGGGATGAGGATGAGCAGCACTTGCCGAGGCTGCAAGTCCAAGTGGGTGCCAGATTAGGAGGGAATGAAATTTCCAAGGGCCACAAATAAGAAATGCACCTCACTGAGGCTGCCCGGCAAGAGGATAGAGGCCTTTCTGCTGATATGGTTGCTATTCAAATGCCTACTGATGGTGAAATGAGGGATGTTGTTAAGTGCCATTGAGTCGGTTCCAACTCACAAAGACCCTGTATAGACTTTCCAAGGAGCGGCTGGTAGGTTTGAAATGTGCACCTTGAAGTTATCAGTCCATTGCTTATCCTACATTGTCACACCAGGACTCTGAAATGGGGGTTAGTGAGCGCAATTTAGAAACTGTCCCTGGACACTTGTTACCCTCCCTAAATCCTCCAGGAGCACAATTTCTGTAGCTATGCTTCTGCTACTGAGTATGCATGTACTGAAGAGTGATTATGAATCACTGTGTATACATTTAGGGGTGTGGGTGTATATAAATGTAAACATGCATAACGACTCCTGTATGGACGCATACACTCACTTGCCCAAGACTGCAGGCTGTGTAACTGAAGTATAATATATTTTCTGGCTATACATGATAGTGGCTGAGTATGTAGCGGGTGCATAACCACATACTAGTATGTATGTTCATTAAATCAAGATATCAAACGGTGTATTCCATTGAGCAAATCTACTGCAATGGATCTCTTTAAAATGCTAAATGCAAAAATATTGCTTTGATGACTAAGGTGTGCCTGACCAGATTGAAAGTAAGTTGTATTTTGTGTAAGTTCATATAGATATGAAAATAGAACAGTGATGGAAGACAGAAGAATTACTGATGCATTCAAATTGTAGTGTTGGCGAAGAATATTAAAGAGACCATGGACTGCCAAAGGAATGAACAAATCTTTCTTGGAGGAAGTACAGTCAGAATGTCTCTCAGAAGCAAGGATGGCAAGACTTCATCTAATGTACTTTGGACATGTTGTCAGGAAGGTCCAATCACTAGACAAAGACTCTATACTTGTAAAGTAGAGGGTAAGTGAAAAGGAGGGAGACCCTCAATGACATGGATTAACATAGCGGCTGCAACGTAGGCTCAAACAGCAACAATTGTAAGGATGGTGCAAGATGGGGTGTTGTATCAGTGTGTTATAGAATGAGGTTGCCATGAGTCACAGCTAACTGGATTGATGAACACCTAACAACATGGTCATGAAGGTTGTGTTTGTGCATGTTTAAGTGTGCAGTGGCTCATACTCTCCGCATGCGTGTGTGCCTTAGTGTGGGTTTTGTCTCAAAGTGAGTACATAGGGACATAATGGTGTGGGCAAGTGCTCTATTATTCCAGCCTTCATCTTCCTCGACCCTACAAGGTAAGGCTTTGTTGGCCTGACAAACTCTCTGGACAAGCTTCAAGTCTTTGAGGGAGGTGTGCCCTTCTTGAGAGTTCCAGCAACCCTAACATACAGGTGAGCCTATTTAGGGAGCAAGCAGACACTAGAGGAAAGAAAATTCACCAGAAGCCTGGCTTTTGCTTCTCCCTACCACAGCTCTTTGCCTCGGTATTTGACTTGGCTGATAGAGTATCTATCTGGTTAACAACTGGTCTCTAACACAAGGTTTGTAGTCAGAATTCTAATACAGGGTTACATTAGAATTCTAAGGCTGGTTCTATCACCTTGGAAGAGTCAGTTAATCTCCAATGGTTTTTCATTTACTGGAAAGTGGGGAGAATAATTATTATATTAAATTTCCCTAAAAGATGGGACACTCACCCATCACAGAGTTCAGTAAACCAATGAATATGTGGAGAATTATAGCTAATATTAAGTCAATATTGAGGATGAGAGTCAAGGAGCTCCACATTCATTCAACAACTATGTAATAAGCATTTGTTATGTGTCAATCCCAGACTTAATGCTGGAGATATAGAAAGATAAACCACATAGACTTGGTGTCTGCCCTCATGAAACTTAAGAGTCTAGTGGGAATGACACATGTGCCTACAAGTGTAATGAATGTTACAGAAGAGAAAACAGTGAGTGTGGTCAGGGGGAAGACCTGGTCCTAAGGGATAACTGATACTGGGCTGGGTGTAGGGGAGGTATGAGTTCTAAAAATGGCTGAAAGATAGCATGTGCAATGAAGTTTAGGGTGTTGTTTCATAGATGGCTGGGAAAGGAGCCTCCCTTGACCATCCCATCTGGGGGATTCTGATCTGTTCCCAGATTTTTCAGTTGTGAAAAACATGAGAAAACCCTGCTTAGAATGTCTATGGACTATTTAAAATCAGAAGGAACCAAGCAAGCCCCTCTCCTAAGGTTGCTGCTGCTACTATGTGCTGTCAAATCGGTTCTGACTCATAGTTCCCCTGTACTGGGTTTCCAAGGTTGTTAATCTTTATGGGAAAAGAAAGCCTCATCTGTCTCTTGAGGAGTGGCTGGTGGATTTGAACTGCTGACCTTGCAGTTAGCAGCACAACAAGTAAGCCACTCTGGCACCAGAGTTGGTGTAAAATTCTGGTAATAGTAGGGGCAGTGGTAGTAGCATCACCAGAGTCTTAACTTCACTAGGGAGAATGAGGCACATTAAGATCAGCCCAAGGTTGGTATCTATGAGGGGAAGGTTAGGCATATCTCCACTCTCCAACCTTTTAATTAATTGACTTGGAACTCTATTTGTTTGGGTTTGATAACTGATTGCAGTGGCCACATTGAATTCACAGACCCTACTTACCATTAAGAAAACTGTTAATTAAGGAACAGGGTGCAAACCAAGATAAAGATCAAGAGGTTACAACTTAGAACCAGGATCAGGCAGCATGTAGGCAAAATCCCTTCACCAGTGCTCAACAGTTCTCTTAGCTCCTCTCAGCCCCCTGAGGACAGGCTCCTCTAAAGCCCTGCTGTCCATCACAACCAACTCTGCTGCTAAGCCCCTTCCAGGCCTATTGCTGTTTTCAGTGGTAAAGCCCTTTGTTGTTGTTAAGTGCCGTTGAGTCAGTTTTTTTGACCCATAGCGACCCTGTACAGGGTTTCCGAGGGTGTAAATCTTTACAGGAGTAGAAAGCCTCATCTTTCTCCCGCGGAGCGGCTGGTAGTTTCGAACCGCTGACCTTAAGGTTCACAGCCCGATTCGTAACCACTATGCTACCAAAGCCCTTAGCCAATGTTAAAGCTCTTTTAGGGGATTCCTTGTCTCCTCTCTTTCTACTTCTTGCTGCTTTCTTCCTTCTGCCTTTTTTGTTGCTTCTTTCTGTCTGAAAAACCTCTGTAGGGCAAGCTGCTGTATCTATACATACCTCCTCAATTTGAAGGCATGGCCCTCTAACAAGGCCACAAGCTGACCAATCCCCTCTCCATAAGCCAGACACTCCATTTGTTTGGTAGGTGCAATTGGGCTATAACTCACCGTATTTACATAAGCTATTAGCCAATTCCTGCAAGGTGAGTACCAATCACAGGACAGGCTGCAGTCCAGGCACAGAGAAAAAGTATCAAACCAAGTCATTTGCAAGTTACCCAGGAAATTTCAATCAACCTGGATGAAAGTAAACTTCTGTGTAGAAAACTAGAGCAAAAGTGATTAATTCCTCAGGGTTTAGGGGACAAATTCTTAAGCTTTTTCCCCCCAAAGAACCAAGGCAAAATACCACGTAAAGGAATTCATTTCACTACAGTGGTGATGATGGTGATTGGCTATCAAGTCGGTTCAAACTCATAGCGACCCTATATAGGGTTTCCGAGGCTATAAATCTTATCTTTAAATGTTACCCATGTGGTTCCCTTCTACAGACATGGAAACCGTGTAAGGCTACTACAGGTCTTTGGTGAGGAAATAGTTCATAAAAGATGTAGGAAAAGGCAATGGTTCCATACATGACACTAGTAAGCATTTAACAAATGTCTACTGACTGAATGAATGAACAGGGACAGGTGCTTGTCAATCTTCTAGAGGAGACCTGAGACTTCCAATATTGGAAGCTTAGCAGGGAGAGCTCTCTGATCCCTGTATCATATGGGTTCTTGTCGTGGTGATGACTTTGGATAGTAAGCAATCAAAATGCTCATTAAATGACTATTCCAAGAGCTGCAGGAGCTACTCAAGCTAGAAGGGGGTTCAGAACCTCCTCTCCATAGCTCATTGATGTCTTCTGTTCCATTTACAAACATTCATCACCTGTCTTGACTGTTGGAACAAGAATATGAACTTCTAGTCCAGTGGGGAAAATGAATAACAACACAGATTGCTTTAAGAGACAAAACTTAATAATAAATGCCATAAGAAATGTACAACAAAGAAATGAGGTGGATTTGACCCTTTGATTCAGATCAATTCGCTTTACATTCATATTTAGAGAACATGCCCAGCATTGAACAAGAGACTGGCATATGACATCGATGGCCACAGACAGTTAGAATTCAGCAGGGTTAGTCAAGTGCCAGATGTAGTAGAGTGCCTAGTTCCACATCTGTTCAAACCTTCTTGGATGTACCTGCCTATACTACAAAGGTTGGAAGTCCAAATATTTATTTCCCAGGCTCTTTGCTAATGGGGTTCCCCATTGTAAGTTAGGTGTACTTCTGTAAGGCATGGATTCATAACTGAGTTAAGTAGGGGGAAGGCAACAGTCTGGGAGAAATTCAGTTTGTTGGTACATACTGTGGTTAGGTGTTAGGCTGCTAGCAGCAAAGTCAGTGATTCAAACTCACCAGCCCTCCAAGGG